TATTCATAAACCAAGTCATAACAGATAACATATGTGGGTATTCTGGGAAACTTACTTGAGCTCCGCTGATTGCATGCACCACATCCTTTCTTGTCTTATAAATTCTTTCCTTAAAACATTTTTCTTTTGAAAAGTTAACAGATCCTCAGTTTGAGATCAGACACACCCGAAAATATGTCTGAATCCCTCAAATCAAGGCTCTGATACCAACTTGTAACGACCCAAAAATCAAGGGTAAATTTTTCATTTTTAATATAGCTAAAACATTGATACCATTTCTAAGATTTATCAGAGTTTATCCCAACATCATTCATTGCGGAAATCATAGGTGTGTGCACTGCGATCAATCTGAGCCCTCCTTTTTCCAAATCGATGATACCTAAAACCAAAACTGTAAACCGTAAGCACAAAGCTTAGTGAGTTCCCCAGAGCATACCCCACACAATCCACATAACCACATAATCCATACTAGCTATAACAGCTACATAAACCATATCAATCATATAAGCCATGCATACATAAACCTGTAAGGATGTTGTGGGCTCCCCCAGGGTCTTACACCTTCATGCCATGGGCTACGCCACATGGTCTTTAACTGGGAATGCCATGGGCTACCCCACATGGTCTTATATCCAACGGCCACTGGCTCCCCCTCGGGGTCTTCCATGCAAGTATCACAAAGACAACTAGCATATCACACATCACATAAACAACTAGCATAACACATACCATATAAACAACTAGTATACTACATATCATATAAACAATGCATATAAACATATAAGGATGCCGTGGGCTCCCCCCATGGTCTTATACCATCGTGCCATGGGCTACCCCACATGGTCTTTACATGGGAATGCCATGCGCTCCCCCACATGGTCTTATCTCCAATTGTCATGGGCTACCCCACATGGTCTTTACCTAGGAATGACATGGGCTCCCCTACATGGTCTTGTATCCAATTTGTTGGATTAGATGTCTAGGCCCATAACTATTATTGGTATGTACTCGACCCGAGAGTAGCATGATCCATTTGGGTTGCATAACACCAGGACAATTTGTTAGGATGGACTCTTGAGAGAAGGTTATATATGATTTATTAATATATTATAAGTTCTAATATATTAATATGAAATCATATGTTTTAATTAGTATTGATCAAGAATTAATTTGGAATTAATTTAGTGATCAAAAGAGACTAATTAAATCTATGGGGACTAATTATGGTAATTAGTTATATTTATATGTGTTGGGCTTACGATCCATGTTGGACCAAGTTTATGTATGGATACATAAAGAGTTAGGCCACATGAACCATGGATCATAAAACCCATGGGTATGGATTTGGGTTACACCCATGACCCTTGGAATCCAACATATAAATATGTTACTTCATGATCAAAACGGGTGCTTCTTTTCTTAGAGAAATATGGAGGTGTTTTGGTGCATGGAATTTCTCTCTCAAGAGCCACATTTGTCCTAGGTAAGTTGTGAGCTATTTGAGCCATTCATACTTTTGGTGCTAATCTCTTAAGGCCAAATACAACAAGATTTCAAGCTACATAAAAGGTATGCCATCCTAACTAGTATTTCATATTGTTTATGTTATTTGCATGCTAGTTATATACTTAATGCTTTGGAAATATCATTACATGTATAATTAGAGAAAACATAGATCCAAGGCATTTAGGGTTGTATGTGCACCATAGGATGTTGTAGTATAGAAAACCCCAACAGTGGTATCAGAGCCATGGGCTGTTTTTTATTATATTTGATGTAATTATTGGTTTTCGGAGCAAAAAAAAATCGAATTTTCTGTTGGCTGACAGAAGAACTCACCGAGTTCCCTGCTTAACTCGCCGAGTGGCATGGTTTTTGCCTTGAACTCTCCGAGTTGGATGAGTGACTCACCGAGTCCACTCACAAATTTGACCAACTCGACGAGTCAGCTCTTGCACTCGAGGAGTTGGCTGTCCTGGATGCAGATTTTTGAGTTTTTTAGCCTGTTTTGGATTAGGATCATTACCACAAAATGTTTTTGTTCATAAAATTTGATTTTGATGCTATGGTAATGATTATCATGATCCAAATAAAGGATAATTGTCAAAGTTTCAAGATTTGTATTAGTTTATGTGGTTAGCTAATTTCTTGAAAATTGTTGGTGTGAATTATCTTTACTTATGAGTTTGATCTAGATCATAGAAAAATTATTTGATTTTTGTGTTAATTGGAATAATTGATCTTAATGGTTTTTATGACTCCATAACTTGTCCTCAAGTTATGGAAAATGAAGATTTTTTCATTTAAAAAGCACATTAAGTCTCATAGGTTATGAAAATGGAAGAGACTCTATTTTTAATGTCATCATAAAATCTTTTTATGTCTTCCATAACTTGTCCTCAAGTTATGGAATTTGAAAATTCTTCCATAAAAACCATATTAAACTCATAAGTTATGGAAACCAAGAGTATTTGAATTGTTCAAAACTTGCCCTCAAGTTTTGGAATTTGTAAAGTTACCCCCCCCCATGTATACTTTAATTCCAACCCTTAGAATTTTAAAAGTTTAAAATTCAACCCTTATACTATTATAATATTATAGGTTTAATAATTATATATATATATATATATATATATATATATATATATATATATATATATCTAAATATTATTAAAAGAGAAACTTTAATTCACCAATGAAGCAATCACAACCCTTAATTGAATTTCAATAACTTTTCTACCTTTGATCTTTTTGATGACGTCACCTCGACCAAAATATAAAGGCGCGTCCGATCGTAACTTAAAATCTTATCTTCTACTATATTCTACATCTTGAAAACCCTAATCTCCTCTACACACGAACAGCGTCGTCAAACCACATCTCCTATTTCTCTTCCCTTTATCTCTTGAGTCTCCGGAAACCGTTTGTTACCACTGCCTTCTGTATGTCGTCGTTACAGCCTACAAGAACGTAACCTACCATCCATTCCCCATTAACCCTCATATGGTTACCTAAAACTTCTTCCCTCTCAACAGTAATATCGACTCCCTGTAAAACACTAGTCGGAGACACTGTTGTTGAGGACTCGCTTCCTTCCCTCACTTTTTTTGATTGTATGGATGATTGTAGTGTATTGGAAAACCATCTCCCCAATCGTAACTTGGAATCCTCCTAAAGGATTAAGATATGTAGCTTTCCATTTGGCGTGAGTGGAAATTTTCAGCTTTCGCTCACCACCCATTCGATGAAATGCCTCAGAGGTCTAGAGAAAAGTTGTAAGTGCATAAATGACAGAAAACTGATTGCAACAAGCCTTCACACATCCAAGTTATAAAAACTATAAATCCTGTGAAATATTGGTGGTTGTTATAGTTTGAAGGATCTTATTGTAACATATGATGTTATTCTATTAACTGTTAACATAATAATATCATGTATATTGTTTTCATTCAAGCTTCTAATTCCATACTAATTTTGTTTTGTTTAGTTAATAAATCTATAGGTTGTCTTCCTTCCTCTGTTGGCATTTGAAGTAACCATTCTTGTTGAAATTTCAGGTGTTTATTTATTTATTTTTTGAAAATTGTATATTACCTATACAACTGGATTCTGTTAATTTGCAATGTATATAACAGAACAAGGCCTTATTACTTGGAGATGATGAAAATGTGAGCGATGATGTAATATGGAAGACACTTCCAGTAAGTTCATTTCATAAAGAAAGTATATTCATATGTACATGCCTTCACTTTTGTTCTCAAAGATAACTGAAAGAGACCATTGTCCTTATAGTCTAAAAATTCTATTATTTTTCAGCATTTCTGGGTTGCTATATCCATGGTTTTCTGTATTGCTGCCACCGTCTTCACCCTCCTGAAGCTATGTGGTAATATTTTTGGTTATCATCTACATACTAATTTAAAAAATATATATTAGTGAATCCATTTATCAATCAAAGAGTATCATGTATATGAACAATAAGATCACCATGTTGGTATTTAATAACTTTCGTTCACTTAAGAGGTTTTATAGATGCTTTAGGTTGTGGGACCCGCTCTTAAATTTTGGGTATATTTCTGTTGCCAGATATTTTGCATATTTATTTTATGGATATGCTTTTAGCTGTTGTAAGTTCTTGCAATTTGTTGTGTTTCAAAATTATTACACAATGCTTTTACATTCTATGTTAGTATTAAAATTCATTTTTTTTTGTAGCAACGTGTGATGGGGACTAATGATGAAGAAACTCAGAGGTTTTTTAAGCTTTCTTCAGTGAACGTGCTACTTTATACCCGATTTACTTCAAATTTTGACTAAATGACTGTTTTACCCTTACATTCCAACAAATTATTATAAAGGTACATTGCTGAATAGCAAAACTCAATGCTTACGATTCCACTTGATTTGTCAAAACAAATTCCTATTTTTTAATTTTATTTTTTTATTTCAGGGTGACAATTCTGTCTTTTGGTTTAGTCTCTACTCCTGCGCCTCTTGCAGCCTTGCCCCTCTCCGATAGTAAGTACCTCACAATTTTAGCTACTTTTTCTACCTCATAATGTGGTTAATCTGCTCTCTAGATCTCTTTATCTCATTATTATTATGTGACTGGAGTGTAAAAATCATTTGCCTTTATTACTGTGTCACCATGCCTCTCACACTGTAATTGTCGAATTTGTGAATAATTGTTTTACTGGTGATATACTCTATGCCTGTCTATACTCTGTAAGTCTAATTTGTATGTGTTTTTATTTTTTTTATTATATTTATCTCAATAGAACCATGGATTTAAAAAAAAAAGGAAATCTAATTGTTACTCTATGTCATCATTCATCAACCACGATCAATTTGTTTTATCACTAGCTAATTGTAATTTATTTGTTTTTAAAAAAAAATCTAATTGAATTCTGTCCCAATTTTTAATTTCATGATTAGAGTAAAGTTAGTGAGAGTGGGTCATCCTGCAAGGTCACTGCCTCAACTATTAGATAGTGCTCTTGATGCACATGTACGGAATATAAATTATAAGTATCACCATTAATTTAATAAAAAAAATGTATTTTAAATAATTTTAATTATTGTTAGGTGTTACTTTGGGGATAACAGTTCTCTTGCCAATGACATACGAAAAGAAATGAATGTATTAAATAGTAAATTGTTGAAAGATAAAGATAAAAACACAAAGAGGGAAATCCATAAAAACTTAGGATTCTTTCAAAAGAAGAAGGCAAAAGGCAACAACTTGCTGGGACAAATGTAATTAAAAATTCATCTGTCATTCTAGCAACTCTCACAGGTTCATCATCAAGAAAATTAGATGGAATTTCATTTGATTTAGTCATTATTGATGAAGCTACTCAGGCCTAGAGATTGCTTGTTGGATTGCTCTTTTCAAGGTAACAAAACAAAACCTTTTTTTTAAATTGGCGACATATTGGATGATTGAAGTAAAAGGGATTTTGTTTTTTTAGAGTTCAAGGTTCTTACTTTCAGGGGATCATTTACAACTTCATCCAACAATTCGAAGTGTTGAAGCTGAAAAAAAGGGATTAGGAAAGACTCTTTTTGAAAGCCTTGCAGATTTATATGGAGATGATGTCATGTCTATGCTGACTGTGCAATATCGCATGCATGAACTTATAATGACTTGGTCTTCTAAAGAGCTTTACAACAATAAGGTAATTTAATTCTGACCTTTTTTTATTAACCTTATTTATCTATTAATTATATTTGTTATAATAATAATGAGTAATGAATTAATTAATAATGATAGATTAAAAGCTCATGCAAGTGGACATACCCTACATGAGCTTGAAGGTGTTGAGAAGTCTTCTTCTTCCACTGAATCTACTCTTCTTCCACTGAACCTTATTTATCTATTAATTATATTCTTCCACTGAACCTACTCTTCTTCTCATAGAAGTCTTCTAAAAAAATAATTATATTTTTAGGTGTGATACGGAGGAAAAGAAGGATGAAGAAGAAAGCACATTGAATGAAGGTGAAGCTGAGATTGCTATAGCACATGCAAGAAGGTTGATTCAAAGTGATGTACATGCTTCTGATATTGGAGTCATTACCCCTTACTCAGCACAGGTAAAGTAGAATTTCGTTCTGGTTTAATGGAATTAAGGAACGGAATGGAATCGTTGATTCCATTGGAATGGAAATAACTTCTTAAGTTGTGTTGCTAAGAGTGTTGAGAACAAAGGATGACAAGTTAAAAGAATTGGAAATCTCAACTGTGGATGGGCTTCCAAGGGAGGGAAAAATAAGCGATTATTATTTCAATGGTTAGGTCAAATTCAAAGAAAGTGGTATTTTTTTTTATTATTATTATTTTTAATTCTTGTGGTGTTTTATAATTGGTTTAAAATTCAATGAAAATGTTGACATTGGTTTTAAAATTCAATCAACTCTTCTATTTTTGCAAAAAGACCAAAATACCCTTATCATCTCTTTAAATAAAAAAAATTTCAAACATTATTTTTTTTTGACAGATTTTGCTTGGTTCAAATTTCAATTCTTTTGATAGATCCAATTCCTTAAAAAACATTCTACAAACCAAATCCTACATAATAGTTTATCAATAAAAATTAGAGAAATTAAAATCCCTCATACTTCTTCTTCTTGCCTAACATTCTTCCTTTTTTAGATGATGACAACTATAATAAAAGTTTATTAATTTTTTACTAATTTGTATTATATTTTCATATTTATTGAAATCTTATATGTTTATTACATATTTTTTCTTATCTGATGTCACTTTTTGTTTTTGTAAAGTAAAATATACATATAGCAAATTCGCAATCACAGTAGCATATGCCATGAAAACCAAATATGTATATTTATTAAACTTGCATCATGCTTTGTAATTCAAATTAACTTACTTATCAAAATACTCTCATTTGATTTATCCATGATAAGCCAAGAAATTATCAAATAAAGTCATCTATAAAAAAATGTTACTTTGAAAAAAGATTATTTTAAAAAATAACCAAAAAGCGGTACCGGGAACGGAACCGGCATCGGCTATCCGTTCGTCGAACTACACTTCGTGTCTCAGTCTGTCGGAGCTGCTCAATTCTGTGTCTGATTCCGTCGTTATCAGAACAATAATCCGACCAAAAACATCACAGGTGCTACTATTTCCTTTTCGTATCTCTTTTTCTCTGTCTTTCTCTCACTATAATGATATAAGCCTAACAAAACCAGGGATATAGCTTATTAGTTTTGTTTTGTTAGTGGTTAAAACTTATAGTTAAAGGAGTATAAAAACAAAAAATATAACTTTTTAAATTAATAAGTCTGCAACACACCAACACACGTAAATGTTATCAATTAGTTTTAGAAACCACTTGTAAGAAAGAAAAATAATAATGATAATTAAAAATGATAATGAAAGATCAAAAGATTTATAAAATTTTACTAAATTAATAAGATATAAGTTTTTTTGTCTAAATTTTTAATTGTTGATAATAATAAAGAAATATAGTATTAAAATTTTAATATGAGCACTAAAATATCATAAAAACAGCATATTAAATATTATAATCCGAAAAAAGGAAGAAGAAAATGGATACTTCCAAGAAACTGGTGTTGTTGTCACAGAACGCAACAACAAATAGGGGCATGTGTCGTAGTTACAATGGTACCTGAGCACACAATCTTTTCCCTTCCCTAATCCCTTGGCTTATTATACATTCAAACAAAATGAGTTTTTAAATTTTCATATATATATATATATATATATATATATATATATATATATATAACCCTTATAATACATACATGTTTGAGGGTCCCACCCATTTTAAGACTATTGTCTTAAAATTCAAGGAGAAAGGATATTGACCCTTTATTATCCTACTAATGGTCCAGATGATCTCCTGGACTTGCACACGGATCGATCATTTCCCAATACCTTCTTCCCCCGCTCTCCCATTTTCATTTCAAATTTTGAATACTCTATCCTTTTCTCTCTAGAAACCCTAGCTATCACCGCTAGCAGAAGCACCTCCTTCAACACGATGACCATGGTTATTCACCACGATCTTCCAACATCATCATCCATCTGGTATTGCTCCCGCCATTCACACCATCATTTGCATCAAAGCAACTGTATTTATGTGTGTTTGTATGTGTGTGTGCATTTATAGGTCCTGAAAAAGGAGGACAATGAAATCGGAGACCCAGATAATGAAGGAATATTTAGATGATGCAGATTTGGTGTTCATTCGAGTAAAGTTCGAAACATTCCCCGTCCCCTCAATATACATAAGTATTTGTTCGATTTAAATTTATTTTTTTGCTAGATTTCTTACAATTTAGGGTTTTTTTTCTACATCTGAGTTTGCAGGTTTTTTTTTTGTTGTTAAATACAGGAGCCATTTCCATCGAAACAACACTTCTCGAGTTTTAAAGAATCAAAAGGTAACATTTGGATTTTGTAATACCACTTCTGTTGATTTTTGTTTTATGCTCTGTTGTGATTGTATTATAATGTTTTGTATGTTTTAGGTATGCAAGAAAACGGGTCATCGAACGGTGGGGTTTCAAGAACCTACCTATGTCGATAGCCCAATGAAAGTATATTTCTTTGTAAAATTCACATCCTATTCTCATTATCTGTTCTCCGTAGCATGTTTTTGTTAATTTTTGCTAAATATTTTTTCTTGAAATCATGTTTCTTATTTATATGGTTTGTAGGTTGCAAGATCCGGACCTCAAAACAGGAGATTAGCATCATCTCTTGAAAATAGACTATTCAATAATATATATATTTTTAGAAATTACTATTTGTTCTACCTTTTGTATTTTCGCTATGAAATTAATTGGGGTTCTTATGATTTTACAAAAAAAAATGTTCCATTTTCTTTATTATGTTTTGGTTTTGGTAGCATCTTACAAACATACAAGATTTTTTGTGAAACTTGTAGGATTTTTAATACATGTTGCTGTCGATGATTAATTGGAAGAGAAAAACAAGGCTTTATCAGAGTATTTAACTAAAGGTATACAATTAGATTAGTATTGGTTTGCAGTTTGAACCATTTTCTAACTTCGTGTTATATATGTGTCCTATCACACAACCATTTTCTGGAGTTATTTTTGAAAGAGATTGACGATCTCAATATGGCTCTATCAAAGTATACGTCGACCATAATTTGTGATTTTTTTTTCTAATTTATTCACATAAGTTAAAATTCGTCCAGATCAGCCACTTTTCCATACTAAACCAATTCCTCCATTTATCAAATAGTGGTAAAAGATTTCAATGCCTCTATAAGTTCGACTTTTTGAATTTGTTGATTCTTTAAGACATAATGGACTTAATCGGGTAAGCTGTATATATGAGTGTTTCAAAAGGAGTAACAGTTTTAAAGAGCTTGTTTTTTTGGCTCATTGTTGCGTTTAATAGATGTTTTTCTATTAACACATTCACCAATTTCTGATTTTGAACATGTGTAATATCTATTTTAGAACCTGTGTGAATTGGATTGATTTTACGTATATTTATGCAGGTTTTGAAGTAGAGGTCTGAGTCTCGAGTAAGTACATGGATATTCAATGATTTTAGTATTCATCAAATTTACCCTTTTTGGAATCCAAGCTACTAACATGAGACATTAATAAGGCTTGAAAACGCGAAGTTCCCAATTTGCCCTTCTTGATTTAACTGTGTTGCTGCTATATGTACGTGGATGTACATGGTTGGGTATTTGAGGTTTGATGTGTCTGAGGCTCTGAGCAGTTGTATGCAAAGGTGTGTTAATGAAGTTTTATGTTTCGATTTTCCAGATGCATCCTGATGTTGTTCAGTTGTGTTAATTAAGTTTTATATAAGAGGCTATAATTAATAAGGAACATTTGTGCATTTGGTGGCAAGCTTCATTGCTCTCATTCTGATGCTTAATAAGTAAAAAGCGAGTCTTGCTTCCTTTGTTAATCAGTTAGTAGCTTATGTTTTCAATTTTCTACATTTCTCTATAGTTCTTTGTTGGTCTATACACATATCTAATTAAGTCTCAACTGAATTATATATCTTATTTTGGAATTCATATATCTACAACAAACCAAGGCATTTACAGGGATGTATATCTTAAAACTAAGCAAAAACACATTGATTTTTGGAAAGGCATTAGAAATATGTGTTTTCTTCCATGGGTTTCACAGATTTGCAGATTAATGACATTTTTTCATCCATGCCATTTGAATTTTTTCGCAAGAGGAGGAAGATATGAGACGAGACCGAGATTGAGATTGCAAGCATAAGATTTGTGAACATGTTTTCGATCACTTTTATTTATGAATACGTTCATTGTTTTCTCTGGTTTTAATTTTTCAGCTTTTTTGTGTTTTGGGTTTAAGTTTTAGAAGTTAAATATCTGAATGTGATGTTAACTTCCTATAGTGGTTGTTTACTTTTATAAAGCGTCTTGAAAATCATGGATGCATATAAAGAAATTGTTCTAAGTCTTGGTTGAATTTTGATTATTAAATGAGTTCTTTTTAGGGCTTATATATCTTTTTCTAAATTTAATGTTTGTATGAGATTTTTTGTTTTGGATTAAATAAAGACTAAATCTATATATAATAAATTGAATATTAAAAAGTATATGAAAAATCAAATTTGTAATTTTATTTTGAAAATTCAAACATATCAAATTCTAAACAAACGGACTTAATATATGATTGTATTTACGTTGTAAGTAATTATATGACACGACATATGAACCATTAAAAATAAAGTTTATATAAATCTTATTAAACTTTTTAATATATCGTTAGTATTTTAATTTATTCAAAATATCGAATGAATGTCATTAACAAATTGATATGGGGTTGAGACTAGCTCTTTCCCTTTAGGTTTTATCACCATCTTTCAAAATTATAAAAAAATTATATTATAATATTTAAACAACAATAGTATTTTTAGTTTTTCTAAAATGATACTAAATCAATAAACAACTATATAAAATTTACAATTTCATATTTGTTTAAATATTATATATAATAAGTGGATAGATATAAAATAAGGGTTATATATATGACAATTACTTCTAATTAAGATGATACACTTCATTTAATTTAAAATTAAACGCTAACACGGTAACAATATAATAATAACCTTTACCTCTTTAGGTAGAAATATCATTTTTTTTTTAAAAAGAATTATCGGTATAAATAATAAAAATAAATATCATTTTTTTTGCAAAATAAAACTAATCGTTGAAAAAACCTAACCACCAAAAGAAAATTGTTCGTTAACCCTCTCCCTAAACCTTATATCTTAAACACTAAAACTTATACCGTAATAACTAAAGTCTAAAACATAAACCTTAAAACTCATAATAGAACAAGGGTGGTGCCGACTTCGTTAGAGCACACCCATATCACGGGTAGTTACCCGAGTATTAGTCGGCTCGTATAGCATGTTGGGAACCTCAACCCCTAGGTTCGCAAAAGCAAAAACATAAACCATAAGCATAATTATATTTATAAACAAAAGCAAAAATATACTTTTATTTTGAACCAAAAACAAATACTTAGTAATATATTTAAAACAACACAAAAGCATATTTTTATTTTTAACTCAAAATAGCAAAATATTTTTATTTTAACAAAAATCGACAAGGTTAATGTATTTTTAACGCAAGACTACAAGGAACTTTTCTTTTCATCCAACATAATTTCTTTCTAACACGACACAACAACGTACTTTTAGTTTAACTAAAAAGAGTTTGCCAAAATGACACTAATCGTTGTCGTAAGGGAAACTCATATCATTGCTCACGTGGAAGAAACTAATGAGAAATAACAAAAGGAGATGGATAAAAAGACTCGCTGAAAAAACTCATTAAAACGAAGCAACGCATCGGAAAAACGTAATTGACGAAAAGAGCGTAATATGTGTAACAAAACAACGCTTCGAAAAAAACATAATCACTAATAAAAACAACATGCTGAAAAGAACATAATCACCGAAACGAAACACCTCGGTAAAAAGATTATTTTCCGCCGCTGCATTGCGCGGGTACACTACTAGTATATATATATATATATATATATATATATATATATATATATATATATATATATATATATATATATATATATTATATCATACCATCTTTGTTATCTTGTTCCTGAAGATACAACTCTAAATTCTCTAGACTTGAAGCTCTTTTATGGGAAGAAATATCTAATAAAAGCATTTATGTGTGTTGGTGTGTTGAAACTCTAAATTCTTCCTCCTGAGTGTTTTCATGGGATCTTCCATTAGAATTTGATGAGGAAACTTCCACCTGTTCTGGCTGATGAGATGCATCCATGTCCAATAGAACATCTACAGAACTCGATGATTGATGTTGATCGTCAATCTGCTGACAGTTTTCGTCTTTATGTTGATCATCCACCACAAAGGGCTCCAAGTTTAGTTCTAAGTCATTACGATCATGCTGAACAGTCAAAGTATTAACATCATCAATATTCTGATAAAATCATAACATACCATGTGTTTGGATATTGAATCCCCTTACATTTGTTATGCTCCTGCCTCCTTGATCCAACTTCATATGTTGATGATGAATTGCACATCATTACCATAACTTTCCCAAATTAAGTGAATTTGTAATTCAAAAGAAGTATCAAAATCGACCAAAAAAACAACCCTAATCAATGATATATTTACCGCTAGCCGCAAGAGTGTTGCGATGGAGAAGCACACCACTGCAATGGTGGGAATGAAGACGACAAGGTTTGTTTATCATTCGAGAAGAACAGTGTCGCAATATTGTAGGCGACGCTAAAGCAGCACGACATGAGTGTTCTTCGTTCGATGGAACAGGAGACCGATTTGGCGATTTAGGCCTCAAAGCCTCAGTGGAATAGAAATGTAATTTACACACAAAGGGGAATGACGGGACGAAGTGCTTTAAAACAGAAGGGGAAATATTAGAGGAAGGGCAGGGTAAAATTATATTGGACGAAATCGTAAAGGAGTAACACGCCGTAGACCAAATAGTGTTTTATTATAATAAGAATAATACATGGTTTTATTGGAAAAGTCCTATTATTTTATGAAATTTTTTGATAAAGTCTTAAAAGTTTTTTTTAATAGAAAAGTCTCATTATTTTAGAAAAACCATATAATTTGTAATTTCCTGTTAAAATATAAAAAATGACTTTTTCGTTAATTTGTGCAAAATGTTAAATAATCAGGACTTTATCGTTAAAAAAAACTTTTAGTACTTTATTAAAAAATTTCCCAAAATAATGAGACTTTTCTACATAGAACCCGATAATATAATATTAATTCACTTTACATTAAGGCGTTCCAGAATAAATACAAAGAAAATGTATATTTGCACACAAAAAAAGTCAAGAGGATTTTGTTGAATCACATGTATTTAACAATCATTATTTTTTTCACAAGCAGATACATGGCTCAAAGCATAATTGCTAATTCTAGCAACCCTTTAGTCCTCCATCGTCTACTCTGAAAATGAAGATTTCTTTCGTAAGTTTGATTTCCAGAATATTGCTAATCTCCAACAAGGACATGAGGTTTCTATATATGTAACTTTCATTTATAAAATATATATTATGTGAAATACTTTTTGGATTATTTTTATCTTAATCTTTCATTTTACTTTTTTATCATATAATTTAAAGTTACATTAATATATTTCAGGAAAAAACATTGATTGTTGTCGCTACAATAAAGCATGTGTGTTTTGATGCGGAATGGTACTATTTGGCTTGTACTAAATGTCAACAGAAAGCTATAAAAGTCGTTTTAATGCATGAGGATCAACTTCAAGATAAAAAAGTTTTTTATTGTTACACTTCAACTTGCATTAACAAAGAGATATTTGTTGTTCCAATGTTTTCAATAGTTTTTTATATATATTATTATAATGTTCGGTTAAACTTTCATATCAATGGTTTTAGTTTCGAAATCACCATTAGAGTATAAGACTTTACCGGTTTGGTGTCACTTACGTTATTTAATAGTGACGCAAAGATACTTCTTGAAAAAACTGCGCAAAAGTTGTTTCAAAGTTTTAATGAGGTTATCGAATTTTAACTTTTTGTCTATCTATTTTTATAACCGTTCATTTTTTAGTAGGGTAATATGGAGATTTATCCATCTGTTTTGAATGTATTTTTGGATAAAAAGTTGTCGTTTAAAATTCAAATTTTGAAGAACAAAGTTGATGGTTATAAAATCTCAAAGTTCACTACTGATAATACAATCATTACTCAATTGAAAAAAAAAATTAACATCAAACAGGTAACATATGAATTTATTTTTACATTAATGATGCTCTTTTTGCTTATTGTTTTTTTTTTTTTTTGTTTTACAGTTCTCATCATTAGACTTTGAGATGATTATTGAGGATAAAATCAAATGTACTATCTTACCACCACCGAATCATTTGAGATTGTTACCGCCAACAACTACTTCAATCAAGCAGCTTATTGAGATTGTTACCACCACCAAATTATTTGAATGGTCTTCTTCGAATGGTGTTGCTCTCATTCCTTGAAGATCCCAAAAATAGAAAAACTCGAATAAGTTTAAGCCATTCATCATTATTTGACATTTTAGTTTGAAGACTTTTTTTATTAGTTTTTATTGTTTGCTTATGGATTTGTTTGACAAGTAATTTGTTTTGATTTTGAAGTTTATGTTTGTTTTCATTTGTTTCACATAAATTTTCTTTTTTTAATTATTATGCAATATCTATAGACGTTTTTATGTTTTTTTATGTGTTCCCCGCGTTTAACGCGGGTTATAATCTAGTATATATGTAGAAAAGTAAGTCAGTCTTACCATTAGTAGGCCTCATTCACGAATCCAGTCTATAAGGGGGGTATAAGGTTACTGCCTATAAAATGGCAGTTTAATGGGTGTCCATTCTCACCCACCGCTTCCTTGACTGGTGGAGGGTCGTTAGCCGAACGGGTAGGACGGGACATTAATTCTCCCTTCATTAAAAGTATAACGATAAATACTAAGTAACTAAACACTTATAAATTCTCAATCTTAGTTACTTAGGAAAATGTGAATATGGTGCTAACCCATGAAATTGCACTTTGCACCTTGTTAAGTCGTTAGTGGAGCGTGTGTGGTTAACCGGCACACTAATATGAGACTAACAACGTGTGGCAAAGGGTAGCTTGATGTTAATCATAGATCAATGGAGCGTGTGTGGTTAACCGGCACATTGATTGGGTGGTTGTAACATTAAGTGTACCAAGTTAATTTACATTGTTATTCACTCCTTGTTTGTGATCCTCGGCATCCCAGTCACAAACTTGAAGGGCACAATCGAGATTTAAACATGTCATTGAATAGTTCAATGAATCTCAAAAGATCTAGGAGTTTCAATTCATTTAAAACATAATGTTAAATTTCGTTTTTCATGGTGGAAATTGGTAAATCGTCATTTATCTACTTTCAACTATTTTGTAGCTTGGATTACAGCATCCCACTTCCAAGTTATAAAATATTGTGTTGGGTCCTAGCCTTAATATTTCATATTGGGTGTTATATTAAGGACTTAAATCAACTAAACTTGAATTTCTCCCTCATAGATGTCTATTTATGACACTTATGGTCTTCCATATCTTTTTAGATAAAGCTTTCCTAATGAAGATGATATCCCAAATGGCGATCAAGGTGAAAGATTAATCCATTTGTTGTGCGTTAATGGGATTGGAAATCATACTTCACTTCCTCCACCTCCTCCAATTATTCTCCCTAACCCACAAGTTCTTGAAAAGTGCAAGGTCACTCAATCCCTATTGGCAAGCAGTGTCTATACGTACTCACATCTTGGAGATGAAGTGTCATATTGACAAGCTGAGACAGTAGGGTGTCGAAGTCTCAAGGAAGTTGACTTTTGACTGGGTTCTTCAATCACTTCCCGAGTTATATGGTGAGTTCATTAAGGATTACTATGTGACAGACCATGACATAGCCCTTATTGGTCTTGCCTATTTGCTTGTTGCTGCTGAATCAGCAATGATTTGACGCACTAGAAAAGCAAATTTGATTGGAAGATCTAATTCCCAAACTTCCATGGACATTTACAATGGTAACATTAGAAATCCAAAAAAGTCTTCTCTTCCCAATGGAAAGGGATCTGTCATAGTCAACCCGGTTGACCAAATGGTAAAGAGAAAGGCTAAGTCTGAGATAGTCTCATGTACCATTACTAAAGAGTCCATATGTTTCTATTGCCAAAGGAAGGGGATTGGTTGCGAAGCTACCTTATTTACCTGAAATTCACTAGGATGGTAAAAGTCAATAAATTTGACTATGCTTCAGGTAAAGTCCACTATCTAACTCTATTAAGTTCCTATTTGGAGATTCTTATTACATGATGTGACTAGGTCGCATTTTCATGTTTTGTAGAATCGAAAAAGGAGAGAAAGCTTAGAAGAAGAGTATGCTAAATCTGATCGCGAAGATGGATTTCGATCGCATGATTCGAAGATCGGAATTTTGAGCTGCTGCTTAAGAGTTATGATAGATTTCTTAGGAATAGATAACAAAATAGTTTTCATATGTATTTGCATTGTAAGGATAAGTTTTTCCACAATTTTAAAAATAAAAGGAAAATTTTGATTTTATTTATTTTAAGTATCCTTTCAATGGCATTTGTGAAAAAATTTTGTTTATATGATTCCATTGATAGCAATATTGGAAAATGGATTTGATTCTTTCGTTTGTGGTAGTGTCATAATTTACCAAATAAGGAAAGATTTTCTTCACCTAAGTTTCAGTTGGATAGAAACTTGGAATCATACAACTTGTATTGTATGATGAATGGGAATTTTCATCTTTGGGAAATTAAGACTAATTCCTTGTTCACATGTATATGTGAGTCAAGTGAAGGACTAGGAGATCGGGTACACTTGGTTGTGCGCTGATCAGTTCCACCACAAAGAACGATAAGGCTATTCGTCATGATTTACTAAAGTTTAGTAAATATGGTTGTGCTTACAAGTTTAAGTATAATTCTGAAACATTGGAAAAGTTTCAATGTATGGCAGGACGAATGATAAGAATCAAATTAGGCAGAAAGATAAAAGTTTCTCCAATCTGAAAAGATGGGAGAGTACTTCAGTATCATTTTTTTTTTATCATCTTAATGATTAGGAAAACCCATATCACAATTGATCCTCTAAGGACATCTTAGTGCAATTGTTTGACTAAGAAGAGGAATCGTGAATTGTTGAAATGGTTTAATCAAAAGATGAATCATACTTCGTTCCAAAATCGAGTCTTAGAGTAACACTCCAAGATCGAGCCTTGAGTGACATAATGATAAGAAGGTTTGAACACTTATCAAATGTAGAGTAAAATGTTTTCTACTCTTGTACATTTGAAATTGGTGAGTTGTAATGTTTTTGGATAAAACAAAGACCAACTAAGGCCAATTGTATGAAGTGTTTGTCTTGATAAGAATCCGCACTAACTCTTGAATATTTGCTTTGTCAAGGAATGGTTCTTGACAAGAGAATCTTATATGTCAAGAGGTCAGTGGGAGTCTTAAAGATA